GTCTGGTGGTGAGCGAGAGCGATATAACAGCAGTTTCTGGTTGAACAAAAGCTCTCTCTCTGTAGGGATCCTATCCATAATGTTGTCAGACACACAATAACAATCGGAGCCTGCCAGTGGCAGGAACAACAACTTTTAGTGCTCAGACTTTGACGGATGCATTTGTCCTCAAAGGATTAATGTTAGCTTACATTACGGCCATTGCAGCCCAACGTTGTGATTGTTGTATAGACTAATGAGGTCACTTTTGTTGACTTTGATTTTATTTCTGTCCCATTGTTTTGGTCTGTGATGCTGGTGCTCTAGTGCAACATCTAGTGGCCAGTTCATTTTGTCTATATAAAGTTTAGACTCTAAATGTACAAAAACACATAAACCACACACACAGGCTTCACAAGTAACTCTGTTAAGTTCGATACCCCGGTATATGCTCGTACACTCAATAGACGCAGGTGCAGTAAACATGTTGGGATACAACTAAAATGTGCAAAATATGGACAATATGTTCCTGCCAGACAACACTGTGAACAATGAAAATAAAGATGCTGTTTGTGTATTAGATGAAGGGGGACATCACTCTCAAGGCTGCTTGATTGCTGTGGGATAACGTGATACAAGACAACGAGAACAGCAACGGTCAGTCTCTGAGGCTGGACAGAGCCAGGACGCAGCCAGATCAGGTGGACATCGGCTGTAATAAATCACCTGACAGACGTGTTGACACTGATGCTGGGACTTACAGTGTGTTCTATGAGCAGGAAGAGATGGAAACTATGTAAATACCTGGTGACATCTGGAAGCCACTGCACAGTAAGGCTCGGCCACTCCAGAGCATGAGTCATCACCAGGTCGTACAGGAAAGGTGTGTTTTTCTTCCAAATCTTGTACTCCTCATTGATGACCCTTTCCTCCACTGCATCATCATACACTGTGGCAGAACAACGTGGTGTTAGTTACAGCTAGAAAGTTACATAATGGAAGCTACTTTGCATTTTCCTCTTGGAGAAAACGGATTAAGCACACATACAGAAGCACACTTATGCAGTATGTATATCTAGTCTGGTACTAGGAACAAGACAGCCTTACACCAAACCTAAGATAGACTTTACAGAACATTCACATGTTACAGCAGCTACACAACACAATAAAAAAAATCTAAAGAAAATATGCATAAAAAAAATACAAATACAAAATAAGAGTTTTACGTAGACTATATGCACCTTTATATACAGATATGTTTGATGGGACATTGCACAGATTACTGAATACACACAGGGTGAAGCATTATACTGCAAATACTGTCTTGAAGGATGGATGAATTTCCAGAGTACAGCAGGAAACTAACTCAAGCTTTGGTCATTTTAGGTGACACTGGCTTCATTTGGAAATGTTTATTTGTATTATGAAAAAAAAAAAAAAAAAAAACTAGTTAAAAGTACTTTACTACCAAGATTTCTTTTTTTTACTTATAAAATTGATTTCGTGTTGCTTTAAATGTTTTGATGTAATCTGTTTCTACCATTTTTCTGAGTTAAAATAACTTAGTGCATAACGGTGTACACAGGACAAAATTATACAGCAAGTGTCATTTAAAGGAAACATATATATATATACACATATATATGTGTGTGTACAGTACATGTATGTTTATGTATAGCCACATGTATATTCCCCAGCACAGGTATAATAGAATATGAATATGTATTATGTTAATATATATTATGTTTTATATAAAGGCATATGTAACGTTACGTTATATGTGTAACGTTATATGAATTGTGTATAAAAGACCATATTCCCATATATAAGTATGAATAAGCAGCAACTGCGTGTAATGCTAGCTTGTCTCAACGTTTCATTAATGACACTCGTAAATAAAAGATGAAGAACTATCCTCAGTAATAATACAGAGTGGTAGCTGGAAGGCTGTTCTGTATCATTAGCTTTAACTAACTGTTATCTCCCCTGGGTTCAGAGCTGCTACCACCCACTACGGCGTATTTTGGTGTAGTTACTTAAGTTGAAATAAGTGCTGTTTAGTGAATTGGGTGTATACTGAATTTCAAGAATACATGTTTGACATAACGCTGTATTAACAACTTATAAACCCAGAAAAGCGCACAAACTGGCTAAAACCCATAAGCCTCCTGATAGGACTCCGCTCCGCTAGCATGTCATGCTAGCACCCGTGGCAGAGTTGAACGGCGGCGGTGCGCACACAAAGCGACACATGAGGAAAACGGCCCGCCGCTGTACACGTTAAGTAGTTGTAGTAAACCTACCCTCTTTATCCGCCATGTCCCAGACTCTGCGCTTTGTCACGGTGCTCCAGGGCAAAGTAACTAAGTATACGCTGTTTTAATGTAAACTACTGCTGCCCTTGCTAGTACTGCTTAGTTTGTATCACTGCTACTTCTTCCTTTTCAGCGCCGAATTACTCGATGCCTACTGCGCATGCGTTAGTGCGCGCATATCAATGAGGGCAAATACTGCGCGCGGACTGCGCATAGGACTTTCAGAATCAGAAATACTTTAATAATCCCAGGGGGAAATTACTTTCGTTACAACTCCAAATATCTATCTA